GGTCTGCTAATTGAGTGACAGTTAGCGTGTGCATTGTTCTATTTCCAATCAGAAACCCTGGAACAGACGCAGTCACAGCTGATTCATCTCTGCCTCTTACTGCTAAATCCACAAGCTGCAACTGGAGGATGTGCCAGCAAGATTTATTTCTCCTAGAAAATCAAAATGACTTCTAAAAAGTCTGGCTCGGTTACTTTCTTCGGGTCTCTCAGACACATACAAATACAAAAACAAAATGGGGTTCACCTCTTTGTTTTACTATGTTTTTACATCTGAAGTGTTATTAAATGTGTAGAATTTTTTTTTTTACATCTGATTTAATTCAACAGTCGTGAAATGAAACTAATTAGGATGGAACTTAGAGAGATGTTTATTTGAACCACATGAACTGAATTTACCCGAAAAAAGATTCAAGCCTTTATAGCTGAGCATTTATCTGTTTTATCTTTTGTTTTACTGATATCCTGTTGTTCTAACAAGAAACAATTGACTCCTGTGATCTGAAGCTTTGTGTGGTGCAGGATTGTCTAATTGGCCTAAAGGGAAAAGTAAAGTTGTGCAGAAAAACTAAATGAAACTGAAGTGAGGAGTCTGAGAGAGATGGTGTGGGAAGGAGACCGGCTGTTCTGTTTTTCTCCAGCAGTCCAAAGTAGAGACATGTGGCTCCCCAGACAAGCTGTCCAGAGTGGGAGAGCTCGCTGGACTCATTACAGGCAGGGCCAAGACGGGATAGCTTGACAGAACACCATTGGATCATACGGAGGATTGGAACGGTCAGGGCAGAATTGTTTTAGTGTGTGAGCGCGCGCACGGCTATGTTTGTTTGGAACGGCGTGTGCGGACAACTGTCCATCGCCTCTCTCCGTCTGTGCCACCCCTGGCTGCCCCCCACCCCCCAAATCACTGCGTTCACACACTCTCTCGGTCTAGGCCTGGCCATAAGGATTGCTTAAATGTTTTCAGTCAAACTGGACAGCTGAGGGATAAAGTGGCCAACCGCAGGCTTCCATTGGTTGGACACATCGTCTCAGAACTGACTCACAGGAGTGACTGGACTTGGACCAGCGGGCCGGTCACTGCAGCCAGTTTATAATAGTTTTATCAGTTCAACTTTTTCCTCAGCCTCGTCCATTTTGACAGTCAATCCATCTCCACTTTTTTTTCCCTTGCAATTAAGTTTCAAGTAGACATTTTTGTTTTCCAGATGAGTTTTAGTGTTGAATTTAAGTTGAAATTAGTTTGTGAAATAAAACTGTTGGGACTGACAAATAAAAATAAAACTACAATCTTAGAAGACCTGTGAGGAAATGTGGAGCTGAAAGATTTTCATAAAAGTTTGATCATTTTGTTTCTTACACAATCTCATCATCATTTATTGCATAAGCATAATATTTTACCCTTTTATAGGATTCGCTTCATTTTGTAGATATTCATTTCTACTCAAGAGGAAAATGCAAAGTCCAAAACTTGCAAAAATATTAAATGGGTGTACGTCTACACCTGATTAAAGTTTTAAAATAATTCTGCTGTAATTGCACATCTGTGTTTATTGTCTGCACTGTGATACTTTACAGTTAATAGTCTGTTGAGATTATTTTGCACTGAAAATAGGCAAATTCTGATTCCTAATGTCAGATTCTGATACTCTACTGTCTCTAAAACAAAACATCATTTTTATTCTTACACAATTCTTTATATTATATCTTTTATTATTAGTAGTCGTATCATTGCTAGTCAATGTTAATTTCGTTTTTTGTGTACTGTCCATTGTTTGTAAAGTAACTAGCATRTGAACCTCTACTGATGCTGCTGTAACACCTGAATTTCCGCTCGGCGGGACAATAAAGGCCATTTCTATTCTATTCTATTCCTATTCTATTCTATTCCTATTCCTATTCTTATTCCTATTCTATTAACTCTTAGAGTGAGCAAGATTTAGGTTGGCTGCCACAGACAGTTAACATGGAAAATCACAAAAATGGCTACAACTCACTCAGTTTTCCAAACATTGAGCTGTAATTTATTGTAGTTGAAAATCATTCACAACACGTATTCTGATCCCTAGTTTAAAATTCTGGCTTGGCAGGCAGCGGGCGACGTGCACTCCTCCAAGGAAGACTAAGCATTTTTTTTTTACCTTTTCTTGAGAACCAGTGAGATGTTCTCTTCCTGTTTACTCACAGTCGCCTTTTTTTTATTTAGTCTCGCTTTTACAAATCTCTTTTTTCTTCCCAATCCTTATGTCTCTCTCCACCCCTCTCGTTCAACCCCTCTCACAGCACTCTGTTTATAAGTAGCAAGTGATCCAAAGAATATGCTTTGTTTCTGAAAGAACAGGAGAAGGAAATGGGAAAGCAGGAGAGAGTGTGGGAGGATTTGTGAAAAGACGAGGAAAAAAAAAATAGACCGGGAGGTGTGATTCAGTAGTTCTAGTGATGCTCTGGCACCCACCAGCATTTTTAAGTGTCTCTCTGCGCGTCCCTGTGTCCCTGTGTGGTGGTTCGTACTAGTCGGCACCTCTCTGTCACCTACACACACACACATGCKCACGTGCCTCTCCGCCGCCACCAGCACCCAGAGGTACCGGCGAGGGCCCATAGTCGCATGGTTCCTTCAGCGGAGCAGGTGTTTTTCTGCAACGTGTTAACGAGCGCGGCCTGCTGTCATTTCTGCTTTAAATGGATGTCACAAATAGAATACACACACACACTTATACACTAACTGCTCCATTCTCCCAGCAAATTATCTGAAACAAGGTGATCAGAGATTAAACTGAGGTGTTTGTGTGTTGTTTGGTCAGGAGTTGTTTTGCACATGCATGCATGTGCATGATGGTTGATTCTTTATGTCTTTGTATATTGCTGTAGGTTTTTCTAAAGGTAAAAACTACCATACCTTGATGGAGCATCTATTAGACACCTGCCCTCGTGCAACAGTTTTGAACAATGATCCTGATCATCCAGTTAGAGCTGGTGTTGGAGACGACTCTCAGCTACCACCACACCAACATTTACCTCATTATGGCAAATGGACTGAACTTATGTAGCACTTTTATCAAGCCCCATAAGGACCTCAAATTGCTTTACACTATGGTCATTCACACACACATTCACACACTGATGATGGTAAGCTACATTGTAGCCACAGCTGCCCTGGGGCATGCTGACAGAGGCGGGGCTGCCATGCACCAGCGCCACGGACCCTCTGACCACCATCAGTCCCTCTGACCACCATCAATAGGTAAGTTGGTTGAAGTGTCTTGGCCAAGGACAGAACAACTGAAACAGCTGGAACCGGGGATTGAACCGTCAACTCACCAGTTACAGGACATCTCCCCTAACCACTCCGCCACAGCCACAACTTTTATTTGCATACATGTCAAGTTGTCAAGTTGTACAGATTGTCCGTAAGTTATAAGGATTTTACGTCAATTATACGGACGTATAGAACAATCTTATGGATTTTTTCACAACCTCATTTTCTAATTTATCTAACTTATCAGAGCCTGTAGGACGATAAAGGAAAAACAATAAATTAATCAAATAACCATCTTCCAACCTGTTCTGCYGCTAGAAATAAGTTCTGCACTTTTTCCGCTCTCCTTTCTTTTTCCTGTCTTGTCCGCAGCCGACAGCCCCCCCACCCCGCGCGCACACGCATCGCGGGTGCAAGTTGTACGGATTTTTTGCAAAATATACMGATTTTTGAGGCTCTTTATRCAGGTAAACGTCCAAAGGGGTTGACATGTATGCATTTGTACAACTGACCAAATTATAGCCTTATTTGTGTTTTTTGTATTTGTTGATTACTTGTAGCAGCCTTTTTCATTGACKGGTCCTGCCATGTATCGGCCATTATAAATTTATGATGTGACTGCACTATTATGTTTGTGATCATGCCTCCCACCACACCAAATTTCATTTCAGTATGTCTAAAAAATAGCTGAGTTATAGCCCTTGGAAATTATCGTTGGCAGCCATCTTGAATATTCAAATCCAGAGTAGCTTTCCTAATTTGTATGTGCCCCCTTAAACCTTGGCCACCCCTTTCAAAAAAGTCTAGCTCTGCCCCTGAACACACACAGACATAAAAATAATGTCTTTAGGTTGTTTTTATCCAGTGTGATAGGSAAGTGTTTGACGCTCGTGTATTCTTGTAGCAGGTCATCTAAAATAAACATTGTGGTCCCACTTCAGCTCCAKCAGCCTGTTGGATACCACTCTGTCACCAACTGCACAGCAGATGYTAATTTTTTGTTGTTGATGTCTAAGAGGAGTAATTTTTTTTGTATGTAATCTTGTTTTGTCTCATGTCACCTCATCTCATCTCTCATCTGTCCTTCCTGTTTTTAGCCAGTGACCAGCGGTTTGTGTGTGTGTGTGTGTGTGTGTGTGCGTGCGTGCGTGCGCGTGCATCGGGTCTGCCAGGAGGCCCTGGCTGGGTAAAACCTCCCAGTGCCCCCCAAGGGATGGNCATCTGTCCTTCCTGTTTTTAGCCAGTGACCAGCGGTTTGTGTGTGTGTGTGTGTGTGTGTGTGTGTGTGTGTGTGTATTTGGAAGAAGGGTCGCCACCTCAGCATCTGCCCATGTATCAGCCAGATGATGTTTCTGGCATGGACACTTTGAGTGTTGTGCTGGTAAACATGTTTTTTTCATTTTTTACAGAATAATCCGATCTGAATCTGGCAGGCATTATGGGAGCTGCCGAGCTGCTGTGTGTCTGTTTGTGTAAATACCACAGTGTGTGTACGTGTGTGCGATATCCTAGGAACAGATGACAGTTTAGCAGCTCTTGACTGTCCAGGGAATCAAATCTGTATTTAAAGTCGTCAACATCGTTATTTTTGTTGTTAATTCCACTTTCCATACATTATTCTGATTAATCCTTTTAACCCCTGGGAACGCTTTGCGCATCATGATCCTGCTTTAACAGAGCTCCAGTTGTGTGTGCGCCAAATATCAAACTCATCTTCCTCTCTTTGCGTTCATGTCTCTGTGCAGGTGAATACATAAAGAACTGGCGACCTCGTTACTTCCTGCTGAAGACAGACGGATCTTTCATCGGCTACAAAGAGAAACCTCAGGACGCAGACCTGCCCTACCCACTAAATAACTTCTCTGTAGCAAGTATGTTGCTGTACCTACTGTTACATATGATGCCAGAGGTTTCTGGCACTAAATTGTTACATTTCAGAAGTTTAGAAGTACGGTTCTGTAGAAAAGTAACAAAATATCATCTTACCTGTTGAAAATGGTGCTTTGAACTACTTCAGTTTGGAGAAAAAGTTTTATTACATGTAAACATGGAAACATTTCACATACATTGAGTCTCTAACACTATAAACAAAATACTAAATGATTTAGATAACTTATTTTGAATAAAAACTAAATGTGGTTTCCATCAGTTTATGATCTATAATCCCGACTAAAGTTTTGTTTCAGAAATTCTTTCAATTTTAACTCAATTTAACTTGAGGTAAATCTAAAATGTCCCTACCATTGCCAAACAACATAAATTTAATTTTATGTTCATTTAGAAACCATTAACATGTATTTCTGCTAAAATGCTTTAAACTGTAAAGGTTTACAGAACCATCTATTTCCTCCACACTTTATCCAAGTCATCGACTTCTCTGTAGGCTCATATATTGCTGTAAAGTTACTGTACAGCTGCCACAGTCAGCCCTTTCAATTCGTAGCAGAACCACCGCAGCTGGTTGAGAATCGGCACCTCGCTGTCGCACATTTCTGAAATGCCAAACRATGTCAGATCTGCCTCCCGTCTTATCGTTTCATCACACAGAGGAAAACCTCCAACAGCCACAGCAGTCATTATTCGTCTGCAGTCTTCACTACAGCCTCTAATTAACAGTTTATCAGTATATCATCTGTCAGCACCTGGTTAACGAGCTCCTCCACACTCTTTGACATGTTCAATTAACCGATTGTTGCGTAATCACACTTGGTTTTAATGTTCTTTCTTGCAGCAAAAGCAGATTGTCCGTAAAAGCGTTACTGCCTCACAGATGTTTTAWCTTTAAATAAAATGGGAGACACGCTAAAACTCTATTGTTATAGAAGAGGGAAATAAGATGTGCTGTTTTTAATTTGACAGTAAACYTTTTTTTTATTTAATGTCATATTTGTGAAGTAAAAATGAAGCAGGTCAGACCAACAGATTGCACTGTTTGAGTTTTTATTAATGGTTCCCAAATCAAGACTTTTTTTATTTTGGAACTTTTGTTATTTGAAATCTCTTTTGAATCCACTGATATATTACAAAGTGTTAATGTGTATTCAGAATATCACAGTAGTTTAATCCTCTCTGTGATTACATATCTATGTTTTCTGATGGTAATCAGAGAGGCACTAAGCCGGTGCAGATGTCACTGCATGCTTACATTCACAGTTAACAGCCTAACACAGCTTAGGATCTCTGATTTTTGARTGCTATCATTGTCTTCAAATTAATCAAAATTAAACTAAACATGCTCAGTCAGTTCAAATCTCATGGCTTTGAGGAAGCAGTGTGTAAAAGGTCCACGTTAGTGTTAAAGCAGGACAGGAGACGAGCGCCAAAGCAGAAAATGAGAGAATACCAACTGATTCTTTGGAAGAAATTGTTCAAAAGGTTTTAATGAAGGATGGAGGAGGAGAGAAGGAAACACAGGGGTTCAAAAAGAACTACAAGTGAGGGGGATGAGAAAGAGGAGAGATGAGATGGATGGAGAGAGGTGAGGTTGTTGCAGATGAGGTGTGTTGGAGAGGGAAGGAGCAGACAGAGAGGAGGAGGTGAAGACCAGATCGGAGGAGGAAGAGGAAAAGAGTTTGCAAGGAGGACAAGCCAGGCCATACATCCGGCCCCGGCTGCTTGGCACAGCACCGCCACTGCCACATCTGTTGCCCAAAGCTGGGAGGCCAGGTGGTGTGTGTGTGTTTGTTTGTGTGTGTGTCTATGTGTGTGTGCAGAACAGAAGTGGTCAGATGGAACAGAGATGGTACAGGCCTGTTCCCTGCAGAGGGACTCATACATACAAGCTTGACACACACACACACACTTATACACCCATTAAACTGCTACACAGATCTCACAATCGCCTGCTGTGGCAAACAACCCTATTTCAGCTAACATTCAAAGTTCACTTTTACGCTTGTGTGTGTCCATGTGAGAACGTGAGCGTTATTTGGCATCAACAATAGTATGACCTTGTTTTCTGGCGGCGCAGCGGGGTTCTGTTCACGAGTCAGGTAGCAAGTGCCTCGTATGTGTTTACATCGAAGGCAGCGCCGTGCGCACGGACTGGGTAGTTTCGCCATTAACCTTCCTGTCTATATTTAGGCTGAGCAGTGACACGCTGCGCCGCACCACTTAAACAGAAAGAAACTGGAGGGAAGGATGGCTGAGGATGGAGGAAGTGATGGACAGAGGAGAGGAAGCAGAGGGTGATGAATGTAAACCAGATGCGAGGCCAGAAGACGGATCATAATGCTGTTTCACATCGGTCCTCGTCCTCCATAACTGCAGAGCCTTGCTGAGGGACAATGAAGATGCATCCTTTCCCACAGCGAGCTCACAGCCCCATCTGGCCGTGTGTGCTTTCGTTTCTGCCTTTGTGTACCGTATTATGCATTTGTGTAATAACGGCCTACCACGTCGCCTGTTTTCATAGGAGTGTGTCTCGTCGGAGAGTCACCAGATGCATGTGCGATGCAACACTTAATATCCCTTGGCACAAGAAAGCAGCCTTTTTTTTTAAGTTATTGAAGTCTTTGCCTGTTTTTACACCAACACTGTAAAATTTGAACTGCGTGTTTGACACAGACTACACTGTATCCCTGTAAACCTTCTTAGAGCAGGCAAACTTTGTGACCTGTTAACAGCAGGAAAAGTTAACAGTTTGTAATAATATAAACAAAAATGACAAAAATAGGAGTGGTCATGCACAGTTCCAAATCGCAAAACCAGACGTAGGACCTGAGCAGTCTTTGCCTCGTCATGTTAGAATGTCTTCTTCTTTTGTTTTCATTCAGGTTTTTGTGTTAAAGATGATTTTCTTTACAAGGCAAAAGAAAAAATTACATTTTATCTGTGTGACAATGCAAATTAGAAAATAATGCATAAAAAATTAATCATGGAATGCATTTCTGCAGCAACGTTGCATATTAAAGTTTTAAGCAAAGTTATCGTATTTGAGCTTAATATCATGAAAATTGGCTGTTAAATCCATTTTTGGGTTTGGGACAGTTGATTAGTTGTGGCAGTCATCTTAAAACAGACTGATTTTAAAAGTTGATGACACAGATTACACAGGAGAATACATGATCATCCACCTTTCATTCCAGCTGGCCATAAGGAGGAAAACAAAACATATTAGATTCTTAATGAACTGAAACTTCTAAGTTGTCTTCTGATTTTTTTAAACAATTTTTGTGTAGTTTAATGTGAACTAGTTGCTTCAGTTTTTCTGTAAAGACATGGCCTGTTTCAGAATGTCAGCTGATGAAGACCGAGAGGCCAAAGCCGAACACCTTCATCATTCGCTGCCTTCAGTGGACCACTGTCATCGAGAGGACCTTCCACGTGGACTCACCTGAAGAACGGTTAGTTCCTGTACAGATTCAGCCTGCGGGATGTAGGCCGGGTTCACACTGTGGGATTTTCAGCATCTCTGAAAATCATGTGTTGTGCAGCGAAACGTAGGTTCTTTTAAAGGTTTCAGACTCTTGAGCACAATGTGACATTTACCGATTGTGTAGAAAGACCAAAAAAATCACACAGTGTGAACCAGGCTCATGCAATCTCTTTAAATTTCCACAAATAAGTTTCATGTATTGATTCTGACTCAAAATTCAATCCGGATTCCAATCAAGAGTTAATGATTAACAAATAAATACACACAGAGAAAGTTCCATAAGTTTATTCTGTCTGTTTCTGCTAACTTTGTTTTTCTCTCAGGGCAGAAGTTTGGATGAGGAAAAAAATGTCAGTTCAGTTAGATCTCTGAAATGTTTGAAAAGTTAGTCCTCTGTTAAAAAAAACTTGAGAAAAACTGGTTTTGATTTTTAGATGAGATTTGCTATTAGAAATTTTATGACAAGAAGCTAAAATAAAAACTAAAAGAAAGAAAATAATCCGTCAGATTGATGAAGGTTTTAAATGGCCTGAGCTACAACATGTAGGGTAAATATGATATTCCCTAAAAGTATCATTAGGAGCAGAGATATGTATATGAAGGGCTTTACTGTAGAGAGTTTGTTCCTTTTTGGTGTCTGCGAGAGAGACAGAGTGGAAAGAAGACCTTTCAAGTGGTGTTGGCATAAATTCTCCAGCTGCTCGGCTCCTTTCTGAGGAGCTGAGGTGTTTATCTCCAGAAAATGAACAGCTTTGCCCAGAAGACCACAGATGCTTCTGTGCATTCTTTGAGGTTGCGTGTATGTTGGTGTGTGTGCGTGTGTGTGGGTTGCAGCTGTCTGTCCAACTTTGTCTGTGTTATAAAGTGCTTTTGTAGTAGTTTTTGCCTCTAGATAATCAAATCAGCATTTGAGAGTTGAAAGGCACTTCATAACTTTTTAATAATTAGATTGAAACGTGTAAATATCGCGCGAATCCAGCAGCGGACGACTGCGAGAGCTCCAGATGTTTTTGTCGCGAGGTGTTTGCACACATCCAGCCGAACCGAAGCGTAAGAAGTTGGAGCTTGTTTGGAGAGGAGTGTGTTTTGCCGCAACTGTGTGTTACTGTATGTGTTGTACTGTACCGTGGCTGGCAGGCCTCCAGCTACCACAGCCCCAGCCGTGTGCAGAGAGGGTGGCACGTGTTGGCGCGGTGCCCGACTGTAGGCAGGCCCATTATCTCTCATTAGCAAAAGGAGAAAAAAAGGAGAAAAAGAGGCTCATTATACAAAAGACACTTTAACCGAGAAAGAGCATTTATCTGCTGCCTGACCTTGAGAGAGTTCCCATTGCTTTTCACGCAGCTACACACACACACACACACACATCACATGTGCCACAAATCAAAATGCTCCACTGTTGTGAATAAGAACTCGAGTTTGCCCTTGTTTTTGAGCGTGTAGGGCACATTTAGAAGTCTTTGCAGAAGAAAGGGGTTTAGATCTTGAAACTTTACTTCTCTGTTTAGGTTCAGATGAATGTTTCTCTAAAGCCCTCAAGGAAACATATGGACTCAAAACAAACAGAAAACACAGAGGTGACCATTTATGAGTCAAACATGTTTCATTATTATGATTTCTTCAGGTCTCGCTTCAGGGAAATGTATTTTTTATTAGTTTAGATCTTAAATTAGAATTTTTTTGGTGCAAAGTTTTGAATATCAGAGTTTGATTCTCTTCAGTTTAGCCTTGGTGGCATAGCAGAGAGTTAACACTGGACAAGGAAAAGTTTCAAAATAAAGTTAAAAAGCAAAATAAGTAAGTAAATAAATAAATAAATAAATAAATAAAACTAGTTTCATAAAAATCT